ACCCTCACTCAACCAAACACTTTTATTACATTATGTTGCCTTGATTATTTATTATAGAAGTATTTAAAACTGTGAAACTATTGCACATCAAGCGCTCAGAACAAACTTCAGAAATGTTTCTGCAGCCCTGGTGTACAATACAGAGTGATTGCTCTTGTCTTCCACCAGCAAAGAAACATGAATGCCATATAATAGTAACTACAACTGACTATGACTCCAATTAACAAAACATTTTCAGTGATTTTGAGCTTCCATTATATTGTGATTCTTGGTCAATGAAATACTTTTATGGTGTAAGGCACCACACGTCGCCTTGTGTATGTGTACATGCATAATCCATCTTTCAGCTGTGTGTCAGCGCTTGAGCACGTACACTCGAGTGTCAACTTGTGTAACTGTGGATGTCCTTTCAAAGAGCCTTCACTGATCTGTCCGAGGCCCTTTGATCAGACGCTCTGTGGCTGGCTGCTCTCAGCGCTCCTCCAGATTGAATGGTACGTGCTGGGTGGGAGACAGGCCCGCTTTGACATGGATGAGGCACCAGCTTTGACCTGCACCATCTCACAAACACACACACAAACACTCACACATCAAGTCGTGAAGATAAGAGCCATGGGAATCTGAAGGCGATGTGACGTTTGAGCAGAAGTGACTATAGTTAAGAACAGAATTCTTACACAAAAGAACGGATCTCTTCCTTGGATCTGCAATTTGGGGCAATGGTCTTTAGGTAGTGAGAAGTTTGTTGGCAAATCATTCATGTGCGATTAGTGAATCGTGACTCCATATTTGTATGTACAAGGCTCAAGATGAAATGTTGCACTTATACGGTTGTCTTGACCAATTACTTGGGATGAGACCATTACTTCCAGAATCTCAGCGTTCACAATATGCTTTTTACTGCAGGCTTTTCTTTAGTGTGAAATTTTCATTTAAGACGTTTAAAAACAGGACGTATCTGTGTCCTCTGACACAAAGTAACCATGTTCTAATATGCCTTTGTGTTTGTTGGATTCTATAGTTAAGGTTCTCAAAAGTTAAGAGTGGTTGAGTTTTTTTGGCAAAATCCTGTGTGTTTGGTCTCTAATCGAGGCATATGATTTATTTATTTATTTATTCCTGGGACAGTGCATATTAATGAACATTTCTGTAAATATGCCAGAATTAGCCAAACGGCTATTTTTCATTCGTAGTCCCATGTCTCCTGAAAAGATAAGTTGATTAGTCAGAGATTTTCCTCAAAAGCAGCAACTTGGGAAGAAGCGGCTTGTGTTCTTAGCTGCAATCACTGGTAACCTTGTTTGGTTGTTATTGTAGTCTTTTTAACATTCTTTTTAATACACTGTAGGAAATTGAGATGTTTTATGGGTCCTTTTCAAATGTGAATTTAAAAACCTAATAAGAGGTCAGACATGGCAGCATTGCTGACCCTCATGTGTACTGTCCTCATATTGTTTTAAAGTTTATGGTGCTCTTTAAGTGTGGGATTTGTTTTACATGCACTAACGCATCCCAAACATTTATCTTACTTTTTAGATCCTGCCCCTTTTAGTAGAAGGATGTCCTTCTCCACATAGTCTTGAATTAATATTTGTCTTACAAAGGGATCTCAAGCTCAGTAAAAGACATCCTTATTCTTGTAATTTTTCTTTACAAATGTCCATTTGTATTTGCGTCCCTATTTCCACATGAACCCATTTTATTCATGTTGATTTAGTGCATCTTTTGGTCCTGAGTGGACATGGTGGTGGAATGATCTCAGGTGGGCCCTAATCTAGAGTGGCATCAGCACACTACTTGGACATACTGTAGCCTTGACACTGACTTGATCTGACAATACAATGGATCAGTGTAAGGGCTACTAAGTCACAAGGTAGAGCATAATCCCTTCTGTCAAGTCTCTGTCTCGTCAATATTCAAATCCAGCTGGCTGTCCAATGGCTGTCAGTTACAATCTCCCTCCGGCTCGTGGCTCTGTAGGGGCACATATCTAAATTGAATTGGATGTTTGCTTCTCGATGGAAATTGAGTTGAAGAGATGACCTCCTGACCCGTATTGTGAACTTGTCAGTTACCCCAACTAAACTGGATGGCAATGCAAAACATCCTGTCTCGTTCCATAATTATTTTTCCCCCAATGCTTTTCAAATGTGATTTTGAGTCATTGCATAGTTATTTTATGGTACGCTTGGATTTGCAATATTGATTGACATTTTTTACTTATTTACAGTTGAAACAAAGCTCCTAATCTGCACTGTGTTAGGTGGATTGAGTGTAGATGGAAGGATGACTATTAAAATGTCAGGATGTACCGTTGCCTTGGCGGAGTATGCACGTCCTGGTTATGAAGTATATTTTATCTGTGGCGTGAACAAAGCTTGAAATCTAAAAACATCAATGTTATTTGAGGTTTAATATTTTCAAACATAAAAAAAACAAAACAAAATGTCATGTTGGGTTAACCACAGTATGCTCCGAAAGTGGTTTTTCAAATGGCCTAAAATGACCGTTAGTGAAAGAGACATGCAGCAATATTCTCCCTCACAATCTGCGTGCTTCAGCCACTCTCTTCCTACTTCTCTGACACATGTCGCCCTGGCTTGCATGGAAAGGTCTGACCTTTGGAAAGTTTAGCACTTTAAATATTTAGGCTTGGGTTATGATGGATCCTCCAGGCCCCACGGCAATGTGTGAAGCCTCTGATTAGGGCTGCTGTCAGAGTCATTTAGCCAAGTGTCTGGCTGTCGCTGCTCTCTGTGTTTGACAGGCCAGCCTTTTAAACAAACAGCCAGCCCAGTGGCAGAGAGGCAGGCCAGGGCAGCCTCTGCACCCAGGCACAAACAGCTCACACTGGGAGAAAAGCACTCAGATCCTGACAGCTGCATCCACAACTACTGGATACTGTCTCCATGATCCTTTCAACTTATATTGTTACCTTTCTTAGAATAAATATATTTTTTATTTATGTATATGTTTTGTTTTTTAGTTACCCTGCACTGCTATTTTTGAATAAACTACACATTGTGTCGCAACATTTTGAACTTTGTGCCTGTAGTTGACTCTGTGATGGTTTGTGTGTGGCATCAATCCTGTAAATATACGAGTCTTAATATGTGTGTCCTATTCTGTATTCAGAGGAAGAGCTAAGTCAGCAGTGCTAGTATTAATGCATGAGAAATGAGCAGAGCCCATAAGAATTAAAGGGTACGGCTCCCCCTTATTAAGATGTAAATTCTTGGGAGAAAACTTGCTGGAATGAGGATGTATCAGTGAAGTTATTGTCAACTTAAACCTACTCATGCATTTCTAAGAGGTGCTGTTGTTCAACACATGTTGAAATTACAAGAGAGGGCCCCATCTTTGTCTTTGTTTCATTTTGACAATCTCAATATGCATCACCCATATCCTATTGAACAATTCACACTTTTTGGCACCATTATCTTGCGACAGTACAAGGCCGACTATTGTGGTAATTCAATCTGCGTCTCGGTGTACAGCGCTGTTGCCTGCTGCCTGCTCTCTTTTGCTACATCCAGCTTGTTCTCTCATTTCAAATTTGCACTTAACACCTTCCTGGAGAAAGGCTTCTCATTCATCAATGGTGTTTGTCCCGGTGACAAGTAGGGCGCCTCCTGCATATCAATATCAGCTAAGACAATGCTGAGCCTGTAACCTTCAGCTAAATGTCATTCTGCTTAATCCTATTTGAAAATTAAACATTGAAAAACCTTTAGCGTACCTTCCTGTCTTCCTTCCCCTCGCTCCTTCCTTTCCTTTTATTGGCCCCAGCTTTACGCTGTCTCTCTCCTTCTTGTTATTTGTGCCATGTGACATTTGTATTGTTTGGTTGTTTGTGTGTTATTTGTATCCCATTATGGTTATTTAGCCAGACTGAGTTTAATTTTATGTCACTGAACAAAATAATATAGGAGCAGCCTGTCTGCCCTTCTGCTTGAAGCCATAAAAGCCATCAACATTGCCTCTATTTTCTGTCTTTGGTGACAGACAGAGCTTTTTCTCTTCTCTCCTGTCTGGATTTTAAGCAATAATGTGTGTTGTTGTATACATTACTGTTAATTTGCATATCTATTTACCTGCAATTAGGGAAATCATGGCCATTGTGGTGTTTATCAATTAATCAATGCAGTGAAGTATAAAAAAAATAAAAATAAAAAAAAACCTGGGATTGCAAAGATCAATATGAAAATCTGGTCATTTTCACACTGATATTTCTCTCTGAAATTGAAACTTTTTGTTGAAACTGACTCAAGGACTCTGCCCATGTAGTGACAGAGAGTTGACTGAATGTTGTCACTTGGGGATGATATGATCTATTTACAAAATTAGTATTTTTAACGTCTTGATGTAAAGATTCCATTGGTCACTATTTCAACTTTTTGTCCTTTAACCAGATCAACAAACACATTAACTTGCAAGTACATATTATAAGTCCATACATACCATGCATACAATCATTTTCTCCTAGACTTTCAGCAAAATTGCAAGAGTAGGGACAGATATAAAGTCATATATCTTTATGGGAACATGCTAGAATTTGGACCATAGATGTTGGAACCTCCACCAGATTTGCTCACAAGAAGTTACCCACTTTTCTACGTCTCCTATCGATGTGAGCAGTGTAGAATGGTACTGTCTACACACTGTCTGGTATTGTCTGACCTGCACAGCATGAGTGCAGAAATGAGGAGACAACTCAAAAGTCTTGTGTAGTGAGAAGAAACAGTTTTTCAGATTTGTTTTGACAGTGTTCCGGAGTCACATTTTATACACCTGTTATGTGTGAAATACTGTAAATAAACAGACACATATTTTGCATTCAACCATACAATTAGTGTATTTCTAGTTACTGCAATTACTGGTGTGAATCTTCAGTGAGAAAAAGAACTGACACTAATAGTAATAATCTAGTGTAGTTTCTATATTGTGTGAATGATTGTTTAAATATTGATATATGTGTGTGTCTTATGTTTTCCATGTAGGTGGGAGATGCAAGAAAATGCTGAGTTGGATGATGAAGAGAGAACTATTGTTGAAGATCTTCAGCGAATCTATCTTTTTTACAATAGTCACTTGGGACAACAGGATGAAGCTGTCGAGGAACAGGGAGAAGACACTCTGGGGGAAGCCATCGCAGACGATAAAAGCACTGCCCAATAACGTTCCATGCTGCTAGGTTACAAATGTTGCTTTTTAAATATATTTTAAGACATCACAGTTCATAGACTGGCAAACCACCATTTGGTTCACATGTAACAAACAAGTTAAGTAGAAATTACTATTAACAAAAGTGACAGACATGCCTCTTCTTTTGGAGCCCACAATTTCTGCAAAATGATGCGTCTAATTTTTATTTTGTGAGAAAATAACAGGATGCATTTATTTTTATCTTGTACCCATTTTTTTATACCTGGATATGTGTAACAAATGAGTATGATAGAATTTATATTGTAAATATTTATTGGTTTCATAGAATTTTAAATTAACACTAATAAAAAATGGTGATGTTTTCTATGTGTGTCTTTTTCTATTCTTTCACTATGCATATCATCATGAATACTGATGTGAGCTTAAGTATTTATGTAGCCCATCAACAGTGAGACAGACATAGTCATTAGAGTTGTGCAACAAAAGATTATGCAGTTTTAGCTTCCGGTTTCATGCAACATATTGAGGACCTTTTCCCCATTCAAAAATACACTATTGCATCCATGGACCATCACACTTGTAGAGGATGTAGAGGAGCACTGAGTTCTGAAAAGTATCCCTCTGGTTCCATACAAATAAGAAAAACAATTGTCTCACATTTATTTGTGAATGCATAACTTTTGTGTAAATTAGACTTGCTTTTGCCCTATCTGTTCTATATCCAAAAAAATCTATATTTTTTGATCATATAACCCCACATGGACATCTGCCCAGGTACATTTTCAATGATTTATACCAATACTCATACTTAATTACTAAACAGCATACTATAACTGTATATTACAAGTCTAAGACAACAGCAGAGTAGTGTGTGATCTACTGTCATAAGATTGGGGTAGGGGTTTAAACAAGACTTCATCCTACTCCTGGTTCAATGATTTATACCAATACTCATACGTAATTTAAAACAGCATATTATAACTGTATATTACAAGTCTAAGATAACAGAGTGATGTGTGATCTACTGTCATAAGATTGGGGTAGGGGTTTAAATAAGACTTCATCTGACTCCTGTGACTGTAATGTTATATAAGAACGAATAAGAAATTAATAGAAATTACATTTTGTGAGTAGAATTGTTTGTGCTCCGGACATAAGCATATTTAACCAACTCAACAAAAACAGGGCTACTGTCTCTTTAAATGTCCCTTCTACTCCGTTGCCTCGGTAACCCGGAAGCTTCACCACTCCACACTGCGGCGCTCAGAGTGCTTCCTGTTTGGAAAAAATCAAGGAAGCAGCTGCGAATGGACATACACTGCACACTGATGGTTCGTGAGTGAAATTAAAAGCGTGCATGCATCTCATTTTCTCTGTGCAAGCTCCTGGCCATCATTTCAAAGCCAAATAAAATAATTATAAGCACGTTTCGCTCTTTCCCCTCATGTTAACTAACAGCTGTGTGTAAAGCCTTTGCCCACATAGTCAAGTTAGGTTGGACATTCCCTCCCCTAATGAATTGTTTATTTAAAAAAATCTAACATAGCCTAGCCTTTGTAAGGAAGAAGGTTTGTATGGTAGCTGTTTAACATGAGTAGCTAGCTTCATGCAGCGAAACTGATGGTTAAAATGATGGCTAATGACCATTGAAAGTTGAAAACATGGTTGTTTGTTGTGCAACGCTATGGCACAGGCAAGCGCTGCACTTTGGAACAGTTACTTTCAGTTTCAAATCATGATCATGCACACACATTTAGATGTGTGTTTTTTGTTTTGACAGGGAGAACATCATAGAGGCTAAGATCCATGCTCCTTGATATATGTGCTTCATTCCTGATACTCTGGACTATTACTATGGCCCAAGTCTCCCAGGAGGACAGGGAGAAGACTACTGCCCTCAAAGGTGAAGAGATTCATCTGTTTGTAAAATAGTGCAAACATCAGCATAGACGTTTGTGTGTCATTTGTGTTGACAATCTTTATGAAATACTACTTTGTGCATGATGTTGAGTTCATGTGACATAAATAGAAATTATATTAATCAAATTGGAGCTTCTTACTTGTAAAAAAAAACATCAGTTGTTATTGTTTTGTTTTTAGGAGTTTATGTAGAAATATCAAAAAAGACTCCCAGGGCAAAAAAAAATATTACAAGATCACTGCAATAAAAAAAAGAAAGAATTTTATACTAATGGAAATTTGATTAACTTAGTGAAAATTACAGTGTGATGACAAACTGCTATGGCATTATCAAAGAAGGATATTGAATGTGACTATTTCCATGAAAACAATGGGCATGGGGTGGCATACCAGACCAAGAGAAGCCTGCTCCACTCACACTAATTATTCATGGTATCTTTTAAGCAATTAAAATATGTATTCATTAATACATTAATACTTAATTGAATCCCATATTGTTGAGCTCTCAATGATAGCTAGTAGGTTATCAACCCTCTATAATATATTTTATACCCTCTTATCAAAATGTTACGGCCAGATGAACATTTTTTGTTTCTAAGAGTTTCAAAATGCAAAAAAAGACATTAAAAAGAATTAGAAATGTTGTTGAATTGGTTATCGTAATTATGGCTCTTTTAACCTTTACTCAAACAAGTCTTTCAGTAGTTACGTGCAGGATAAACATAAGTTAAAAGTAATTCTTTTATATTATTAACAATTATTGAACTAGTTTTGTAAAAAATAATATTGGGATTAGTATCAGCATCATGGTATCTCAAAAAGAGCTCAGTAATCTGTAGCTCCATTTTTCATGCTGCTTCTTGATAGAAGTAGTGTATTCAAGAGTCTAGCCCAAACATGATTTTTGTAAATCTTGTAAATCTAGCAGTCAACACCAGTAAACGCCTTAATTTGGGTCATTTTATGCATCTTGATGGACTATCAATCTGATACTCATGGCCCAGCCTTGGGGATAGTTATTTGGGTCTGTGGCCCACATCTCGATACACAATGAGATACGATAACTATACAAATTGAAACATAATTTTGTCCATCCATCCATTCATCCATCCATTTTCTTCCCCTTAATCTATTTCTGGTCTGGGGGGTGTCAGTCAGAGCTGCACCCAGGACACAGAGCACCAGCCCCTCACTGATCCTCCTGCAGGTGGTCGGTCCACAGGAGCCTTGATCTTTCTGCGGGGGCTTCAGACAAAGTGGGGTTAAGTGTTATGAAGTAGGTCTTGTGGTGGCCTCGACCTTCAGGCTCTAAGGCCAATGCTCTACCAACACTGTCGTCCTACATATTTTGTTATTATTTTAAAAACAGATTTTTATTTCTATTTTATATATAATATATATAATATATATATATAGGGCGACAGTGGCTCAGTTGGTAGAGCATTGGCCTTTGAGCCTGAAGGTTGTGGGTTCGAGCCCACAATAAGACCTACTTCACAACTCCCACTGATGACTGCTGTCGTTGTGTCCTTGGGCAAGACACTTAACCCCACTTTGCCTGAAGCCCCAACTGAAAGATCTCAGCTCCTGTGGACTCACCACCTGCAGGAGGATCAGTGAGGGGCTGGTGCTTAGTGTACTGGGTGCAGCTCTGACTGCCACCCCCCCGACCCAGAAATGGATTAAGGGGAAGAAGATGGATGGATGGATGGATGGATGGATATAATATATAATAATTATATGTATTATATCTACCAAGACTCTTCTGTTTGCCTAAACACACACCTGTAGACTATACATTTTGCATTGTGTTGAGTAGGCCATGCAATGTTTATCTATGTTTTGTTTTCTTAGATTTGCTTTCAAGAATAGACTTGGATGAGCTGATGAAGAAAGATGAGCCACCGTTTACTTTTCCCAAAACACTGGAAGAATTTGAGTACGCCTTCAATGAAAGTAAGCCATGAAATACAAATTGATTTTAACTTTTTTTTCTTTTCTTGTGCATATGAGAATTAATTAACAATGACCCCAGGAAAAAAATAGTCCATGAGGTCTATTTGATTGAAATACTGAAAGTTATTCCAATGTCTTATTTTATTTTTACTTTATTGCTACAACAAAAAGACATACCAATAACAATAACATTGTCCTAAGATGTCGCATCAAGTAATTGCATAAATGATGCCATGTCAGGTATTTTTCAATGTGAATTTAATTAGACATGTTGATATAGTTGAAAAGGTGAGCGATAGTTATAGGGGCCATGGTTGTTCTTCTAGCTCTTAATATTCCCCTGTAGTTGTTTTCCCCTATCTCTCCCCCTCTGTTCTCTGTCAGTGTCTCTGCTGGCTGTCTGACTGGCTGAGTGGGGGACATGTTGTGTACTCTACGGCCCGTCAGTAACCTACTCAGCCTTGCCCTGCGCCTGACGTAGTATTTGCATAACCTCGCTGTGCCTAAAAACAGACACACCAGAGACTTAGCCCTCAGCCATCAGTGTGGCACCAGCCTCCTCTGCCTGCCCGAGTCACAGCTCACTCTGCCATGCTGCCTGCACACATTCACAAACTCTGCATCTTTCCTCTTTTTACTTCCTTTGTCTCATCCTTTACTGGCTTCTTCTATTTTAAATCTCTCAAATAAAAACCACAAATACTTGAAATATAGAGTTGTCTCCAACTATCCAATTATCGGCATGACTTTGTATCGGCATGTTTTTGAAGGGTGTCTTTTCTATTCAATCAATCAATCAATCTTTATTTTTAGACCACTTCTCAGACAAAAGTAACAAAGTTCTTCACAGTTCATATTGAAGCCTCAATATCCCTCAGGCTGTGTCTTTAGTATGTCAGTTCACAGATCGGACTTGGTGGCGTTTCTTGAGCTATACCCAAGCTAGCGTTGACTGAGACAGGTGGAACAAAAATGTTAATTTGACCATGTAATGATGTGAATACAGACGAGGCTGTGTACAATAGTTTGCAGGTATCTTAATCACGGAAGATGATGGCTTCATCTTACTAGCCCTCCGGTTTTCCATTACTGGAAATCCAAGGTTATGTACACCTAATTAAGCGGCCAAATTGAGAACAGAATGCTAATTATGACTGAAAAGGAGAAGAAAAGTTGGAAAAACGTTATTCCTCTGAGAGGATGCGTTGAGGGAGGCAATGGAGCTGATCACCCCCAGCCCTCCCCCAAACCCCCCACACATACACACGGTTCAACTTTCCGTTAGATTTCATTTATAGCTCCACTCTTCGTCCTCTTAGGCACTGGTGTTTAGATCATCACACCACCATGACTGCATAATTGATTTTCTTCAAGGTACTTTTTTGCTCACTGCTTTACTTTAACTTTAAGCTCATTGCCAGCAATTTCTCCCAGGCACAAGTCTCCTTTTTTAATTTGACTTTGTGACAAATATGTTCACATTTACAAGTTGTCAAGCAGCTATGCAAATTGAGCAAATACACTGCAGGTTTGTGAATAATTAGAATCATTGTCATTAACGATTAAAAAAAGATACATATATATATATATATATATATATATATATATATATATATATATATATAATTTAATTGGCCATGCCTTGCAGCAGAATTTTATTTTATTTATTTGTATTACTTAATGTACAACAACAACAACAACACACTACTATATACACACTATATACACACCATCCAGGGTAGGACATTGAGAGAGTGAGCTCTTGGTACATGGGTGTAAAGCTGAAAGAAACTGGACAAGATTGCAAACACAGACTTTCTCTTTAGGAATGGCAGAGCGACTATCTCCTTAGGGAACTCAAGTCTTTGCATGACTCTGGTGGCATCAGCCATTCTGTACAGTACGGTAGTTACAGCAGTTTGTTGCTGTAGCAGATTCACAGTAGAGAGAGGGATAGAAAGAAGCTGGACATGGTCATCAGGTATTGCTTCTTCCTTGGCTGTCCCCTGGACCTAGGGCAGCAGGTGGGAGACAGCCAGGAGGGTCCACTGACAAGTCACTCAGAGCTTTGTCTGCTCATGATTAATTCTGTCCATTACATAATGCTGCTGATACATAACAGTTGTAGTCATCACTGTACCACTCTGGAAGCACCTATTACATACATACTAAGGGGTTACAGTATATACTTTTTCCTAAGCAGTTCTCTAGTTAACTTAACTAAAAATCTATATTTCTTCCAATTATAAATGAAATGGGACTCACAATAATTGACCATGCCTTATCCACAGATGGTCAGCTGAGGAATATAAGGACTGGTGAACCTTACGTATTCAACGCCAGAGAGGACCTCCACCGGTGGAACCAAAAACGCTATGAAGCCCTTGGAGAGGTAACTGAAACAAATATAACTATACTATGTGTATAGTTAAATCTTTTACATCAGGGAGTTTTTTTTTTTTTTTTTTACAATAATAAAAATGAATGCAATACATGTTGAAACCTAATGGACATATTTGTACTTGTTTGTATAAATGTGTGTCCCCAGCCCATAGAGCGATAAACATGTTTTCACTTTTAACATTCAAGTGCTGTTAAAACAGTCATACTACAACAACACGCAAACGCGATAAAAAGACAAATGTTCTTTGTAATCACTTTTGTCTTTTCGTTTCCGTCCGCTACCCGTTTGTAACTTTTAATTGTTGTTCATGTTCTTTGATGTTCAAAGCAAAGTGACTCATTCGTTTGTGGGATTACCTGGTGTTATTCTATTTCACAGGCAGGTATACAGGCACTCCTTTGAGAATGGCATCTTTTAAAAGTTTTTGTTTTTTCTTGTTGGCTGCTTGAGCCCTATCTGACTAACAACTCAAATGCTCAATAAATAAACAATGAAAAGTAGCAGTAGGATTGTACTTTTTAGCGTAGTAAGAAAATTGTCAACATTTTCCATTAATATATTTTTAAACAATTGTTGTGATGACATTTACTTACTTTTTATTTCAATTATTAAGATCTTGACCAAATTTGGTTTCTAGGAATAAGTTTGTCGTAGAGTTCAACTTACAATGATTGATTATGTATCCTTACCAAGCAGAGAAACAACATCTAGAGATGGGTTCCTGAAGTTTTGCTCTGCTTTACCACTGCTGAGGAAAATAAAGCGTACCATTACCTTCACCTTACACTGATTAGTTGGAAAAATAAAAGCAACACACTCAAACTAGGAATACAGGGTCTTTCTGTCTCCAGATCGTTATAAGTGTCGCTAATGTCCTTTACTGTGGTGGTGAGTGTTATGGTGTCTATAGCTGACAAAATCTCTTATCTATTTTGCTCAGCTTTTAGTGTGTTCCTTGCTGTGCAGTGTGCTGTAAGACCCCATACTTGTCCATAGATGTTTACGGTTGTGTATATCTGATAGGGGGCTGGGTAGGCTTGTATTGTCAGACACATCACAGCACCAGATGTCCAATTTGCACTTCACCGTTGTCTGAATGGAGAGACACATAGAAGGAAAGAGTGCATGTGTATGGCTTCCAACCAATCAAAATAAATTGAAACAAAATGTGATTTTAGCGAGTAATATTTCAAAAATGTATAATTTCTAAGATGATACAATTTGGTATTAGCCAAAAAAGATAAGATTGTTGGTGCTCTTCTATTTGTCCTTAATTTCATCACAGATACAGTAGTATGCTGACATTTGTCCTGATACTGTACATGAGGTTATACATTTGAACAGGGCCATGTGTTATGTAGAGAGCAGACCTCTGCTCTTGCAGGTGTCACTCAGGCTCTGTGATTTTTCAGATTCTCTGATGAATGTGTGCAATAGCGGCAAAGCATAGGGTCTGGCCCAGATGGAGCTCTATTAAGCTGTTAATAAATGAGGATTCTTCACTGCTCTGCTTGCATCTGTGGAATGGAAGGCACGCACACAATTTTTAACACACACACACACTGTGGACACAGACACACATCAAATCAGAATATTATAATGATGTAAAGCTAGCCAGATGGCTGCATTAGAAGCTCTCTTTCTCTCTCAATCCATCCCAGTCCAAGGAATTCTCTGTCTTTATTCTTTCATAGTGATCTTTTTACATTTCAGTGTGCTCTGGGTTTTAAGCTATGAATACGGGCATTCCTGCTATTTCTCTGCTATTCTAATCAGCTGTCTCATTCGGACAAAACTGACAGCACATATTTACAAATGATTCTGTTTTGTTTTATAGTGTCTCTGAATACACCCTGTTACATAATAAACATTCTTTTTGATGTAGCGCCCTGTAGCTGTCTTTGGCGATAATAAGCTTCACGCTGCAGATGAAACGTTTAGACTTGGTCATGCTTTCATTATAGGATAATTGCATATTAATCAGACAGTAATACACAAGACAACTGTGACACTTCTTTGTTATCTTTTGTCTCAAACAACAGTCTACTTTTGTTTAATTCAGTGCTGTAACATAAAGCATGCTTTTAACTGTACATTTCTAGATACAATCATTCACAAAAGCAATGACAACTGCAAACCTTGTCCTCGCATGTTTTCTTTTTAAGACAATTTTTTGTGCTGCTCAAAGTTTGTTTGATATTTAGAGTCACTGTATTTACTTTAATTGATAATATACAATATACTATCAACTTATTCTTCAATAAATGTTGGAAGGAACAATATATTTTGGGGCTCAGAGTTTACCATCTTTGCATTTTTTTCTGGAGAGAACCATTTTGTTTGTAAAATTATGAAGCTTGTCGCTTTAGCTGTTGAAGGTTGCAGGAACCGATAATAACAAGCGTTTGCCAATAACATAATAACTTCAAGGCAGATTATTATACATTGGCCTGTAAGTAATCTTTATTTATATACCGCCTTTCACAGACCAGAGTCACAAAGCGGTTTACAATTGTTATTTTTGGGCACTTGTCCTCTCACTCCAGACAGGGATGGGATCGGGGTCACCAGTACAGGAGGCGCCAGACCTATTGTACATGTTTTTAGTGGTAGGGGAAACCGGAGTACTCGAAGGAAACCGGAGTACCTGGAGGAAACCGGAGTACCCGGAGGAAACCTACGCAGACACGGGGAGAACATGCCCTGTTCCGACCGGGATTCGGACCGGGATTCGAACCCAGGAACTTTTTTCTGAGAAGCGAGAGTGCTTTCCACTCAGCCACCGTGCCGCTCTGTAGTAAAAGAGGTCTGATAAAATGATAATAATGTAATAACAAAGCAAATATGTTATTTCTTATTCTTTCAATACAATACACCAGTGGTTCTCAAAGTAGGAACCAGGAAAGTACCATTGAGATTAACTCATTGACGTCAATTGACGTCAATCTCTTCCTGTCCGTCTGTGTCTGTGTATCATATATGTCTGGGGTTTGGTTGTAGACAGTATTTTATTAAGCCAGCAGGTGGCAGCAGAGCTCTGTGGGTGTCTTGGTCAAAGATCACTCTGAGCACTCTGAGCAGGAGAGACAGAGGTGAAGCAGGCATGGAGTAATATAGTCAGGGTCAGGCTACATTTGGAGGCAGTTTGAGCAGTAAATGTGTCTCCAGAGCTGACACAGACCATGTGGAGGGTCAGAGCAGCAGACCATGTGTAGGGTCAGGACAGCAGACCAGTGGTTTACCCCAAAAAAGCCACAGAAAAGTGGACTATTGCTAAAACTATCACTCCAGGAGCCAGCGGCAAAGTCCAGTTATGTTCACAGCGCTTGCTGGACTAAACAGAACGACACTTTGTAGATGTAACCACACACACACACACACAAACGTGCACATAAACGCACATTCATACGCGCACACAAACACACAAAGACACACATCAGTATTCTATTGCAGTGTTTTCAACAACTGTGCCGCGGCACACTAGTGTGCCGTATGATATTGTCTGGTGTGCCGTGAGAAATTTGCCAACTTTGTCTAACAATAACTGCATTCTCTATTGGCGAGCGCTGACTTGAAGTGTAGAGTAGCCACGTAATACGTTTTCATATCAGTAGGTGGCAGCAAATAGCTAAGTACTTTGAAATAGTAGCGGGGAGCATTGCGGCGAGAAATTTAAGAATTGGACGCGACCAACCAATGTAAGAGGCAGCTAGCTAGTTCAAAAACTCTCTGGAGCTACATGAAAACTGAACTAAGAATTCTGACCATCAGCGGTGAGTTACCCATTTTTATACCGAACCTAAATCCATAATCAGATCCTCTTCAAGTGTGTCCTAAAATATTAATTTCTTGTTAATAGTTACTTCCGGGTTTTTAACGATCGCTTTTTGTCACATTAAAAAAGTATTTTTGTCATGAAAACGTTATCAAATAATTCTGAAAACCTCCGTGCATGTGTGTTAAGGATGTATATGTCTAATGTATTGTTCGATTACCATTCAAAGGTGTTGATTGTTTGATTGGTATCTGTTTATTGAGCGTGGCTAGCTCGGCTAGCTTTGCTAGCTTCTCTGCAAAGACAGAAGTAACAGCTAGCTTTGAGGAGCCGTTTAATAAATTATAATTAAATATATTTAAATTAATAAACAAACAAACTTTGAATATGATTTTTGTGCAAAAGTCGAAGCCCTAATCTGCGCGGTCCTTGACTCGTGTTCAGGACCATCTCCTGTGTCTCCCCGAGTCTCTCCTGTGTCTCTTGCCGAAGCGCAAAGCTCGGATACCTACATTTTCCCCATGCATTAAAAATGCATGTTATTTGTGCAAATAAGTAATATGTTGTGAACAAATCAAACAGAACACACAGCAGGGAATGTTTAAATCATTATTTTTCACACATAAGAGCCCTCTGAGTCATTATTTGACTTTTTGGGCTGAGAGTTTTTGTTTGTTTTTTTTCCCAAACTCTTGTTAACTCATTGTATTGAGAAATATTAAACCAAACTTAATGTCAAGGCCTGGATTTAAGCACTTTGACAAGAATGGCTTTATATTGTAAATATAGGCTACAGATAATATTTTTTAACATTTTCTCCTGGTGGTGTGCCGTAAGACTTTTTCAATGAAAAAAGTGTGCCTTGGCTCAAAAAAGGTTGAATTCACTGTTCTATTGCACTTATAGTATAAGTCTATCGTCTGTTCACTTTGATTTATTGTCATTTATCGTGTTTATCATTGTAATTTTGCTTATCTCTGATTTACTGTTAATGACATAAATGTAGCGCCACCTAATGGATGTCCTGACATGTTAGAAACTTAGAAACAGATCTAACAGATCCTGGACATGTTTGAGGAGATGCTAAAGTTAAACTAAATAGTGTCACAGTCACTTTTCTCCAGGTTTGTCTGTTTTCACAAACACCTCATTTCCTCATTTTTGTCTAAGACTGGTGCTTTTTGTCACACTCCCCTCTTTTCGACTGGAGATC